TGAATTTTTTTGCGTAAAGCCAAATATGAGTACTGTGGCGAGGCTTATACCACTAGTTGTCACTGCAGTACCGCGACCGCGGATGCCTACTCCAGATCCTTCGTTACTTCAACTTTCTTAAGCTTTCGTGTGGAGATAAGAACTAACCTAAAAATTTTTTAAAACAATTTTAATACTCAGAACTCCATAGTGACAGTAACAATAGAAAGAGCAAAAAACCACCTTTGACGTTACGGCCTTCTTTAGCTACTCCAACGCCAGATCAATAATGCCAAGACCGTGAAAGCCTTAGAATCCGTTTGCAAGAGATTTAAATTACAGAATAAGTTAATGCAGTGGCCCTTTCGTTGAACTCCGATGCTTATTTGCAGGAGGATAGAACGATAGCGGATAAGCATTTATTGTAAGTTATCCTGCGAGTGCCCATGGACCAGCGAGAATTACCGCTCTAATAAATCGTAGAGGATCGCCTCATGTAAAAAGCAGGGGCCTCCATCAAGACGCAGTACTGCTTATAAAAGGAGTGTATATAAATATTCAGTTTATGGCTTTCCACGGTGATAACAGTAATACTTACAAAATTGCCCTTGTAGAAGCGCTCGTTAGATTCCTCACTGCGCCAAAAAGTGAAGTTCTTCTTAAATCTTTAACGGGTACGAACGTATGTATACGTTTTGTAAACTGTTGGCTTAAATAGGTTTTTTTCTATATAATTATATATATATATATATTTGGGAGGATATAGACCTCAAAACAAAGGTTTTATAAAAGATTTCCACAATTGTTGCACATTTATCGGACCCGCTTATACCCGTTTAGGCCCACAGTTTACAAAACGTATATACACACTTGTATTATACAAAGGTTAGCAAATAAAAAAAGATAATTGTCAAGGCATCGTTTTAACAGCGCTAATTTCTGCAGTATTCTTCTGCAGTTGTCAACATCAAATGATTGCCGACTCATGGGGTGCAGGTGGAGGGGTATGTACACTGAATTCGCAATACTGTTTGGGAGTTGTGTTTAACGCTTTTGAGAAAAAATACACCAAAGTAGTTGTGTTCAGTGCTTGTCTGTGCTTTCTACACGATAGCTTCATGTCTTCCATAGAACAACGACCAAGTATTTTATGGAGCCAGCAAAGTTACAAATAGGGGTGTTTGTGGTTGAGCTGGCCATTGAATACTCTAAAACGCTAAAATACTATGCTTGCTTATTATAGCTTTAGTTGAAGGATAGTGTCTCTTGATTTTCACTGAAGACTTAATCTCAGTACAACTCGCATTTTTAGCGGCATGAAGTGAAAACAAGTTAGATAAAATTTCTGATGTTAATTATTGTATTTTTCTGTTATTGACTACTCTGGCAGTTACCACATGGCCTTTAATTGGCGAGACAAGTGATCCCTTAGAGACCCCTGCTGTCAGAGATCGAAGCAGGGAACGAGTATCTTCCACGCGCACGCTGAATACGCGACCATTCAGATATGATTTCAGCACGTGATAAAGGCCATGAGGGACGGATAACAAGCGCAGTTTGTGCTGCAAGCCTTCATGCCAAACTTGACCAAACGCCTTTTCGTCAAGGATGACAGCGCCTGTTGCCTTCTTATGGTTAGAAGCGCGAGTGATCCTTTCAGTTAAGCGGAAGAGCTGGTGGGTCGTTGCGTGCACTTGCCGAAATCCAAACTGATACTCCGATAGAGCTTTCCGTGTGTCAACGACGACACTCTAGTTCAGGGTTGTATCGCTTTTATACATAAAATTTATAAAATTTTGGTAAATTTAAAAATGTTTGAGAGTATTCTTAATTACATATTAATTTGAGGTTTTTGGTATCTTTTGGTCTATTATATTGTTCCCGAACTTTAGAATTCGGCCCACGGTGTCAGGAAGTCGCTAATCCTAAAAACTAGGTTTTACTTAAAATATTTTTTCTCTCCGAACTCTATAGAATCTGTAAGATTTAAGTAATAACTTACTAAATTAAAGAATGAAATTAAAATGGAACTAATCTTAATTTAAATATATTTTGCTCCGGCATTCTTTCTAGCTTAAGGGGTTGTGTTTAATGAGAAATATACCACCATAAAAAGTAATTTTTCAAAAAGAAATTTATTTAAAATAAGTGAAAATGAATGAATAGCGTATCATTGTGATTAATTGTTTGAATCCGTGTTTTTGATATATATACTGAAGATCTTGGGCAATAAAAAGTATGATAGCGCCTAACAAGTGCGCTAACCACTTTGAGGTTCGTACTGTGAACCAGATTGTAGAAAAACTGTTTTTTCCCCACCCGCAGTTCGTTAACCACCGACACGCAATTAATAACGTTGCTCAGTTCTTTTGCAATCACAGCCGCTTAAGACACCAACCGCTCAATGCCCCGTTAGTCTGTTACTGGTGAAGTGGGGTTTATCAAACCCCTCTGAAAATATGTTACTGCATGATTATAGGTGATGGAAGATCGCTCACAGCCTGTATATCTTTCAATCAGTTCGCTCGCTACCGGTGTAGTAAACGCATGCCGCTAAATAATGTATAATTTCGAAAAAAACTACAAACCCCACCTCACTATCTACGTTACTGTTTTTTCCTCGATATGTGTTAAGGCTATCACGTTTTCAAGACGTGTAGTGAAATTGGATGACCCCAGTGTTAAGGATTGGCCACAAATATATAAAATGAGTTAGAGAGATTAAAGTGGTGACGAAGAAGACATTGTTGACCAGGGCCCCGTTCGTGACCATGGATGTGATTCCGAAGAGGAACTCGTCGAAATCTGAACTTGAGGAGTTATTTTTGAAAGATGTTGATCAGCCAACTACAGAAAAAAAGCAGAAGACAAGCCCTAAAGAATATTATGGAAAGAACAATTTTAAATGGTCCGCAGAAGTTCCAAAGTCCAACGTCCGAACAAGGTGGTATGTCATTAATACACATCTTCTCATTTGTCCAGCAAGACGGAGAGGGAATTATTTGTACTCAGGTTTCTGCTTGAGAGCAATTGTTCACAAATAAAATACTGAACGAAAAACTTAAACGGACAAAAGAAAAGTTGTAGCAGGTTAGGCTGCGGCTTTCTTCAGTAGATATATACGATTACAGAGATGTAAATATTATAAAATTTTGAGCCTTCTTCCTAGGAATCTTGATGAATGTTCAGTCTTTAAATCCAATCATGAAGATCTTGAAGTCCTCTTCGCTACATACAGCATTAGCGGTAGTATCTTCCCCCTGCATCCTCTCTTTGAAGCGAACACTGGTTCATTTCGGCATGCGTTCGCTTTGATAATGCGTCTGTTAGAGCAGAGAGAAATAAAACTGATGCAACGGCTGCAACATCTTAGGTTATCTGAAACGTTTGTAAAAATTCTCAACAATGCTACTCTATTGAAGAATACGTTTGCGTAGACGAAATGCCTGGGTGCGATGCAAATTCCGCTTGTAGATGCCAAATAAATTTTGAAAACACGATTTAAAAATTATAGTATTGAACAATGGAAGACCCACTACTTTTTGAATGCCTACATTTATACTGTTGTGGATAGCGATGGGCTTATCCGTTCTGAAGATGAAAAATAAGGCAAACGACTCCCTTAATTTTACGTTCGGCTTTTCCTACCTATGGAACAAACCAAAACATTACTTCTGATAAATGATTCTTATCCATCCTCCTTGCACTGAACTAAAGAAGAAACAACTGACATTCGTTGGGGCCTTGAAAGAGAACAATGAGAAGTACTTCATAAATATTTTTTGCAGAAGGAAATGAAGACTCCCGCCCGTTTCGGTTTTACTAAAGACCTCACTTTAATGGCCTTCGCGACAAATAAGAATGAAGTGGTTTTTCTAAGTTCGTCAATGTAGCCGTATTTACCCAATGTCTGGAAAACAAGGAATAATCGAGTTTACAATGAAAACAAAGGAGGTTTGTGGGTTGGGACAAAAAATGTACAGTTTACTTTACTAGTTGACGAATCAACCGATGGCCTCAAGCTATTTTCTTTACTTTTCAACACATTAGCCTCGTCAACGCTTACGTGTCATTTTATCTTTTTCCTGGAAATTATGCGCAGAAGAGGTTTAAGAAGATATCTTAAGTCTCTATACAATTTGCAGAGCCTCAGCTGAATTCTCAAATTTAAAAAAAACCTATACCATCGTCCACAACTTATGGAAAGCCGAATTTATTTTAATTGTAGCACTTCACTTTGGGGCAGCTGTACTGTTAGTCGGTGTGTGGGTTGTTCTCAATAGATTTTATGAAAATAGTTATTGTTTAAATATTATGAATGTTTAATTGTTAGGATATTCCATTAAAAGCGGTATTACTTACACAGTTAGTTTCTTGTTTCAATGAGTTCTGTTATTGAAATAACACACAGTGTCAATTTTGTATGCAATATATATAACAATAAGAATTTACATCTATAAACATTTCTAGTATTTTAAATTTTTATGTATGCCTTCATAAGAAACCTGAATTAACAACAATTAGGTTTAAAATTGTTCCTGTTAATTTATCTATAAAAAAAAAATTATATATGGGGTTTATCAAACCCCTCGTCACCAGCCACGAGTTGAAAATAACGTTTAGCCCAATTTTTGCTGTGGTGGAATACGTTGCTCTTCTTAAAGAGTAATTCTAACGATAAGTAACCTGACGACAGCAAATAGTTTTTTGGGTCCGCGCCGCATAAGACTTTAGCGTTAGAAGGCTTACAGCGTACAAGCAAGAAAGGCGAAATGTTGATGAAAATGTCGCGCTTAACAGCGGGTTGCGCCCATAAGCGGACGATTGGGTGGTGCTCTGCAACTTCGCAAGTCTGGATGGACGGTTTTGGCCGACGCTAAGGAAAAGTAGTTTATTCTGGTGTGGCGGTACTATCGCATCATCCAAATGTATTCCCTAACTGATAGGGCATGGAGGCCGTGAAAATTTTAGCCTTAACTTTGCTGACAGAAAGCCGATTGAGGTGACATTGACTACAAACCCCCGACAGACTGCTGCTTACTAGTGATTTAAATAAGCTGCTACGTTGCCACTTGTCTACGCTTTTCTTTGTGGCGATTTACCCTGCAAACTCGCTGCTAGAACACTCGAGTCGAAAACTCGGATGGGATAATACTTGAGGAATATACGAGAACAACCTAATCTTCGCGTTCTGACATAAACCACAAGAAAAGAAAAGGAACTAGGGGTATTCTCGTCATAGCCATTCAACTGGATGAGCTTTAGCGAAGGCGAGTAGGTTATACTTTCCAGAACGCACAAATAGCTTTCCTTTCTGTTGCAATATGGTAACTGTATCTTTAATTTACCTTACCTTTTCTCTTTTGGTTATTAGAGGGTGACCATGACGTGAACCTATCGTGTATATATGTATATATATGTGCCATTTTTCATCGTCTTCCCCTATATCCTTCTGTTTTAAATTTACAAAGCTCGAGTAATATATAAACTATTTGAAGAAAATTTTAACTTTAGGGTTTATTCGGGTTGCCCCTGAGAGATCCTTAAAGGGCTTCATAAAGGGCTTTGTTTCATCTGATTAGGTACTGCATTGCCAAGTTTGAAAAGCTAACTCAGCTACGAAGAGCACGACTGATCTTGTATGTCGTATTTCATACAGCATAAAGGGTTAAAGCTAATTACTTACGGATGGATTGGGTTCATCGCGGAAAATTTATTACTTTCACATAACCGGGATATTATTATACAACGTATTGGTGATAAAAAATATCATATTCTTTACTCCTTATTAAGCACTTTTACCTGCGGTTTTGTTTCTTACGGCTACTTCAAGTACGGCCGGAGACAAGGACCTATCTGGTTTAACGTTCAACGTAATCGACTTCTTCGTTGGAGTGGATTCATTTTACTTTCAACTGGTTATGTGGGATTTTCTCAATTTTTTCCTAAATTTCAGGTATTCGGTCACTTATTAAAAAATAACTTATAAACTAATTCATTTATAGTCCCCTTTTGCAATACAACCAGTTGAAAAAGAAACAAACTCAAGAAGTGATGGCGGTAGGGAGCTGCAAGAAAAAGGGTTCAAAGTAAAGATGTGTTCACTTTGTTAAATACTTTTCGTTACACTGATATTTAACCTTTTTCAAAGTTAAGAGAGTGGAATTTTCACCCTCGTTGCCCTTTAGACTTTAAAACAAATCACGATTTGGTTAACGAAGTGAGTGGTCTAGAAAGAGTTACACGGCACCCAGCATTCTGGAGTCTTGGCTTTACTGGTAAAGTCAATGTGATATTTGCTGATCGCACGTCATTTTCCTAATAATAAAAAACAGGTGTAGGACTGGCTTTAACTACAATGTATGCTTGTGAAACTGTTTTATTTGGTATGTTCGGTGTGTTTGCTTTAATAGGGAGCGCTCACCAGGATTATAGATTTCGTAAAGGTAGAAAAACTTTTCTTTTCGTAAGCATCAAGTAAAACTGATCTAGGTTCTGGCGGCTCATTATCAATGGATATGGAAGCACAAACCTCGAACATACCTTTCTTGGCGCTCTTATTGGAAAGACAAAGCTGGAAGAAGCTTATAAACGAGTTAAAGTTGACAAACGCTTCTCTTGCTCTTTTTTTGTCTTGGTTGATCTACGCACGACGAATAAAGAAGCTGAGCTTACAGTAGAGGTTTAGAAAATTTCTAAAAATATAGCTTTGCCTTTATGTTTTCTAACACTTTCAAATAATCGGTTTTTATAACGTTCATTTTCTGTCTGTATTATATTTTTGTATAAATAGCTTTTACATTACCCAAATAAATTAAAAAGCAACGCTCTAAGAATAGTAAACGAGCTTTAACTTTTATTGTACTTAGGCTCTTGAGAAAAACTGGGGCATAGAAAAGGACTAAAATTAGTAAGTTTAATAAATGTTCTGAAGAGAGACACCATGGCTAACGAAGAAACAATAAATTAAAGGTCGGTCCTAAGCAATTTGCGGAGTTCTATTTTTTTCGGTACAACTGTTGGATTAAATCTTTGCCTTCCTCCCATTGGCCGATACAAATTAGATCTTGTGATTATAAATGATAAAAAAAATTATTATAACAATGCGATGGGCTAAATTAATTTTTAGGACATCCAACAGGTTTCCTCTTGGAAGATTCATAAAACTTACTTAGAACAACCGAGTTGTATTGCCAATAAAAGGCAGGGGTCGTGTATTAATAACGACCCCTAACCGCATGAACTTTCACGAGGCTATTTGTAGTATGCACGACATGCCTACCCTCAAGGCCGTAGAGCACAAGCTTAAGGACCACGAGGTCCTCGGCATCAAGGGCTAACTCCGGGGATCTCCGGTTCTGGACGCACTCCTTGTACTGGGCGACCTTCAACAGACGCTGCTGATTCTCACTGCTGGACTCCACCAAACTCGCGTGGTCACTTTTGTGTGGTGCTTTCTGGGAGTTGTCGGCAAAATTTCTTTTTTTATCCAGCTCCTTACTTGACGCCTTAGTGTTCGTTGCAACTATAGTGTTTAAAAGGCAATGATACTCAGGGTCTGTTAGGAGCTCGTCCTTTGCTAAATGGCAAAATACTTGTATAAGTAAGAAATTAACTTTAAAATGTACAACTACTTGGGCATTCTTTGTAGTGGTTCAAGGCAGCTTTAACATCCAATAAAAATACATTATTTTTAGGCAAACCCTTTACACTTAAAAGCGGGGGAGCCAGGGCACAAGCGAAAGAATGTTTTTCTAACAACTTCACTAGCGACTGGTAATAATGCTTGACCTTGGTCGTTAGCGACCGAAACGAAATGTTTAGCCGTTCGCAAGAAAGTCGTCTGGCACAGGCATAATCCACTCCGAGAAGTTGTAGAGCTACAGCTTTAAGGATGCATAAATATGTACGCAAGCAAAAGTATAGGCACTAACTAATGCATACTGCCAGGAGCTGGTTGTCGCTAACACCTTCAAACATGTAATGGGCTTTTGCCAAGTTTGCTAAATCGCATATATCTTGAAGAATTCTATAATTCTTAATGGCGAAATCTCTTTTTAACGACTCCGACAGAGCTTCTACTATTGATCTCGCTCTAACACTTATGTCAATTTTTCTTTTATTATAGACAGATAAAAATAAACGAGTAAATCTAGAGGTTTTTTTTTAGGTTGTAAGGACTTTGCTATTTGCGGGGCAATATTAAGTTTATACAATAATTTTCGAAGAAATTTTAAAGCAGAAACTAATTTAGAAAAGTCGCAGTCAGCAGCCTGATAAATCAAAAAAAAAATAATCTTAAAGAGCAAGCAGTTTTAAAAGTTTTTTAAACATTCTGAGCACCAAATAATAAACATATATATATATATAATGAGATAAACTCCAGCAAGCTCTTTGTTATCAAGAAAAATATTGTTTTCAAGGCATGCGAACTGCAAACAACAAGCTGCTACGATTTCCGCTGTATTTCCACTTGCTAAGCGAGCAGGTAGGGTCTATAACTGTTTTAACAAAGAATTATTTAATAAAAAAAGTTATTATTTTGTACTTTAGTTGACATAAGCTCCGACATTATATAGCGACTTCTAAGCATTATTTTTTTACTATTAATGTTTAACAGGACAGCCAAGTTTTCAATGGTTTTGTGATTTTTCCAGTCTTTGTTGAAGATTGAATCCTTAAAAAAGAGGAGTAGAAAACATTAGAGCGCAAAGCACACCAAGTACAACTTTAGTCCTTCCCGTAAAAAAAGTTTCATTTTCAATTTTGCTTTCTAGTTCTTTTTGATCTAAAATAAGACCACAGTTCTTACAAAACTGGATCATATAAAGTGATAGACAACGTCAGAGTAAAGTTGTAAGAGGGGACCTTTCCCAGAAGTTCGTGTTCCTTGAATTCAGAATGACTGCAGGAAATTGTATTAAAATCAGCCTTTGAAGACTCCATAAACTATTAGATAACAGCTAGCGCGGCCAACTTTTTAATATAAGGTTCATTGAGTATAGAGTATTTATTACCCACGGTCTTGAGATATATAAAAGAGGTTTTAGTGATAGACGACTACTTTCCAGGGTCTCTTTAAAACCTTAACAGTTTCTTATGCATAATTTTTAGAACACTAGAGGGTTTTGGGGGCTTTTGTTTTCCTTACACATTTTTTCGAAAAACGAAGACCGCGAAGCTTTAACTAAATGGTATTTGACAACGAACCCTTAACAGAATTAGTCGCTCATAATTGGCAATCGGGTCCAGACTTATATTTTCCTTTTACTACATAAAACTCTAAATTTATATAAACGGGTGGCAACGAGTCAGTCGGTAGTTTAGACTAGCGCTCTATTGTAGCATTGCATACTAATGGCATAATTCAGCTTGTTTCTCAAGTCACTGTCACCAGCGAGTTGTGAACCCAGGCAATAAACCGAAAGTTAGAGGCTTATAGTCAACCCTTAACTGAGTTAAGATATACATATAAAGTACATATATACGGATGTGACAGAAACAAAAGAACAGACAGTACCTTCCTAATGCGATCGAGTCAATAACTTTGAAAACACAAGCTCTTAATCAGGAATACCGGCAGACAAACTCCATAGTAGTCTTAAATCGATGAAATTTTGTTATTAGCGCTTAGAGAGTGTCGCGTGGACGGTCATAGGAGGGTGCCCTCTCCTATGACTTGAAAATAAGCTCGCTCGCCAGCAGGCAGTTTGGGTGTTTAGCTACTTGGTTATAAAGGGCAATGGCATTAAGTTTAAAGACAGTGTGCAATAGGCCCAGCTAGAGATCCAGGTGGAGGACCTTATTCGTAGAGACTTCGGCGCATTTGTCATCACGCGCAGCAACTTGCTTTGTCGCATTGGGGGAGTGTATCAGGAAATATACGCAAACAACCTACCTTTTTTTTTTAAAAAAATCTTAAATTTAATCTAAACAAATATACAAAAATGGAAGTGATTTTTAACCTTTTTAAAGGTATATAAACGGCTTGTTACCTATAATTAAATAACTCCCATTATTTTTTTTTCTTTTTCGTTGTCAGTGTTATTAGATGCGAGACGCTATCGCTGTTAAGTAGCCCAAGTAGCAGACGCGTATGTCAATATTGGCAGAATGCAGGGCACCTATAAACGTCATTTGTTCGAAGAGAAAGCTCACTCTTGCTGCACGGTAACGTGTCAAAGTGCCTTAGCCACTCCTTGACCTTCACTACCACGTAGGACACGTGCGACAGTCACGTCTTTTTGTGCGGAGATCTTAACTGCAAGCGCCACCCTTCATGAAACAACCAACCCGAGAATGCCAACGGTCACATCCTTGAGGCCTATGCTAATGAGCACGGACTGGGCATTCTAGGCCCCCTGCAACCAACACAGTTGGCGACAACAGGCGCAATGAAATGTACTAGATATCGCCATACTAAAAGATACACGTCTCACAATGACAGTTGAATCGCTCTACGAGCTGTCCTCCGATCACCTTCCTGTTATTCTCGAATTAGAAGAGAAGGAGGACACACCGAAGACTATCACCCGCTTTTTTACCAACTGGGATAATATTATGAGTTTTTAGAAACTACTTTCCCGCCGTGTTCGTCTCCTACCGTTTACACCGCTCTGTTAGATGATGCTGTCGTCTTATTCGAAAGCGTACTAAACATTTCTCGCACTACTGCCGCGACAACTCGTGAAGAAACTTACCGCCCCGATCGCTTGCCTGACGAACTTAAAGCGCTTATCTGCCAAGGTCGACATCTTATCAGAGTCGGTCATATTGGCGCAGAGTGCTCGAAGATAAACTTGCGCTTAATCGACTGCACAGGTGCATAAGGAAGAAACTAATGGTTCATTTTAACAATAAATGGTAGGGCAAGCCGCACCGTATATCCTAATCAGGCAACAGCAGCCACCCCTCCTCCTTCTGGAATTTTGTTTAAAAGATAAAATTACGGGGGCTTATATTACTACCGCCTCTTGGCTAAGGTGATATAGTGATCGAGAGTGATAAAGACAAACTACACTTTTCACTAATCTCCTTGCTACCCAAATCGTGCCAGCTGCGCACTTACCTGCCAAATGATGCGCGTTCCCTCAGCTTAGTTCACCCCTTCCCGGTGTCCACGAACCACTTGACCTAATTAATGTTAAGCGACTGTCGAAGCGCTACCCAAACGAAAAGCGCAGGCCCCAGTGACATCAAATGAGATGCTGAAGAAATTGCCATTAACAGGGATGCATTACCTGTACCTTCTAGTAAAAGTTGGGATGGTTATTGGCGCCTTTCCGTTCCGATAGGAGACGGCGATCGTTATGATACTGTCAAAAACACTTCAACCGGAATCAGCAACTAGCGAGTACCAATACGTCAGTCTCCTGTCAGCGATCAGCAAAGAGGGCGTTCACGATAGGAATGCCTTGCCAGAGCTTCAGTTTGGATTTCGGCAAGGGCACTCGACCACCCAGAAGCTCCTCCGCTTAGCTGAATGAACCACTCGCGCTTACAACTTTAAGAAGCCAACAGGCGCTATCTTCCTCGACGTTGAAAAGCATTTGAACAAGTTAGGCGTGAAGGTCTGCTGCACAAATTGCGCTCGTTATCCGTTCCTTATAGCCTTTACAACATGCTGAAGCCATATCTGAATGACCGCGTCTTCATCGTGTGCGTGGAAGATACGCAGTCGACTCTGCGATCTCTGACAGCAGGGGGTTTCAGGGTGCCCTTCTTTCGCACCTTTGATTAGCAATTTATATGTGCGACCTGCTCTTGCCATGAAATCTACACACACAAATATTCCTCTACGCCGATTATACGGCCATTTTTCACTCTTCATCGCAGTCTCCCACCTTACTATGCAAGCAGCTACAGTGCTATCTTGACGCCCTTACTGGCTGGTGCCGTAATTGGAAAGTTTCTATAAATGCGATGAAGAGCAAAGACGCTTTTAGTTGCTAAGAAACGCATCCCCTTGTTGGCGTGAAGATTCCAAAGCGCAATACTTAGGGGTCATCATTGACAACAAACTTTCCTGGTAGCCTCCCGTGGACTATCTAGTGCCGAAAGTTAAGGCAGCAAAACTAAGAGGCTTTATCCTTTATTATGAGGCAAGAGCAAACATTTTCTGCGAAACAAACGGCAATAGTGTATGTCTTACATCCAGCCAATAATAACATACGGGTCTGCTGACCTGAACCTACAACTCCACTGCAATAGCGTCTGCATTTCAAGTGCGACAGAACAAATAGTTGCGCGTGATGACCTGGGCTCTGTGGTTTGTGTGAAATGAAGCTCTTAACCGGGGCCTTCAGCTGAACCCTTTAGATGTCGTCTGCCAACGTAATGGCAATGCCCTTTACGAGAGGCTAGTCAGGTACACTGAATCATCTGCTAACGAGTGAACTTATATACTAGCCGTGGGAAGGGCACGTTATCGCCGCCTACGGGACACGCGTTAGCGCTAGTTTTTGTGTGTTATTGTCAAGAAAACAATTGCATTTCAGAACACTTTTTAATCTAATATGACGAGGTGGAGCATGGGAAACCCATGATGAAATCTTGGGCGGAACATGCTAATTATATTGTATACTACTGTTCATCTGAATTAGTAGTTTCGAATGAAAACCATGGCGGCAAGAACTACATAATGTGATGATGGATAGCATTACTGCTTAATCCGTAGCTACCTGTAAGTCACAGAAAGTTTAGGTAATTAACTGGACCTTGTGATTGATTGGCACTAGAAAACCGCACATATTCGAATGTCGGGTTATATATATAGTACCGCTAGCTAATACCTACAAGTTAGCACACAGATCCGAACGGCCAGAGACCATCCGAATGTGTACGTTGCCAATACAAGCGCACCCGAAAGCCACACTTGCAGCTCCGGAAAGGTCATAGGTACTAGTTTTCATCACTCGTTGACCAGTTCTTGCTTCCATGGTTTTCATTTGGACCTTACGAACTCTACTACGAGTAGCGTACAAGTCAACTTAGCATGATCGCACCAAGGGATACACATGATCTCTGTAGGCGCATTAGATTTAAAACTGCTTTTAGAGGCAATGGAAGTACCCATTGGGAAATATAAGTTAATCAGTCTAAAACTGAACACAGTAAAGCCAAACCTCTAATAAAACGAGTCTAGTTAGGAACACAATCTTTTGTGCGGTCCAAATCTGAGTGGTCTTCTAGAATAGTGCTATTTACTTGTACTAAATATATGCCGGCCGTCCCATCTTGTCGATTGATAGCTACTTCTTATAATAAGTCTGCTATCACTCCTGATAGAGAGCTCGAGTATTCGAAGTTTTTTGACTCAATTGAGCACCAGGAGCTATCATTATAAATAAATATATAAATATTTTCTCAATTCTTGTTTATTCTTTATAGTAAAGCGCGTCATGCGTCTCTTTTTATCTCTTTTTATAAGTTATTGGTTCTGGTTTTTACCTTCTTGTTTTTTAAATTTCTTTCGTAGTTAAATTGACTATTTCTTTTTTTTTTTTCTTTTTTATAAATTATTATTGCATTTGGAATAAACTGTACTTAGTTGCCTATTGTGCACATTAATTAATTTTTTATTATATTTTTACGTTTGTCATTCTGGCAGACGTTATTACCTTAATAGAACCTTTCTTTTTTAAGTCTATCATAAAATGACAATTTATGTTAAAAGATATTAACATAATATCATTACCTTTATAATTTTTGACGCCTATTAAAGAAGTTAATGAATTTTTTAAAATTTTACTCCGCAAGCCCATGTGAACAAGGTAAAATTTCGTTGCTGCCACTAAATTCCAAAGAATATGCCCTTCACTAAAACCTTTTTTGCGTAAATAAACAATCCTGCAAAAAGCCCAAAACTTGCTTTATATCTTGAACTCATTTGAAGTGTCGTATGCAGGCTGATAATGCAATGTATATGGCTTCTGCTGAGGATAGTGACGTGATCTTATTCCTCTTAAAATCCCAAAATGTGTGACACTTACTTTTTTTTACAATTACACCCGCTGTCCTGCTTTTTTATATAGTATTGGGAGACAAAACTCGCATTAGTGTAAATTTCTACTTTCAGGTAGGATTGCCTCTCCTCTTGGAGCTAGAAGTTTTCATTTTATTAAGATTTTTAAGTATTTGTTTAGCGACTGTCCGTTTCAAAAGCTGAAAACTTAGAAGGCTGAGATAACATGTTAACGCCAAGTTAACATCAGGTCGCATGTCATTATTAAGTACTTAAAAGACCCATAACTTCGTTAAACGGATATTTATAAGTTATATATCCAGTTTTATAAAATCATTTATCTCTCATAGTGGCTATTTCCTAGCTCTTTTCTTGTTCTAAATCGTATGCATGAAACAAGTTCTTTAAAGTTCCTGCCTAAAGTTTATATAACTGTTGTTCTCAAATACTTAAAACCTGGAATGTTGCTTTCTAATTCTCTATAACCAAAACCTATTTAGGCAATGATTGCTGTGATTTTATCTGCATCGTTACTTAGTGTTCTCAAATCATCTACGTGAAACGCGATTATACACCAAAAATTTTTCTCTATTAAAAAAAAAAAGAACGCAAGATTGTACTATAAAATTGTTTA